AGTCTGCTTTTCCCTCTCCCTCTGCTGTTCTCCCTGCTTGTGTGCACTGTCTCTCTCTCTCTGTCAAATAAATAAATAAAATCTATTAAAAAAAAAAAGAAAAATTTAAAAAATAAATAAATGTCAAAGCTAAAATTGAAAAATGTCTAGAAGACAACTTAGGAGCAAATCTTCTTGATCTTAGAGTAGGCAAAGAGTTCTTAGGAGATAAAAAACTGTTAGAAGTAGTTGATAAATTTATTATATTGAAATTAAAAATTGCTTTTCAAAAAACATCACTAAGAAAATGAAAAGACACACCTCAGACTAGACAAAAATTTTCACCTACATATATTTGATAGAAAGGACTTGTGTCCAGAATACAGGCATACCTCGGAGATATTGCGGGTTTGGTTCCAGACCACCACCATAAAGTGAATGTTGCAATAAAATGAGTCAAATTAGTGTTTTAATTTCCCAGTGCATATAAAGGTTATGTTTACACTACACTGTAGCCTATTCAGTGTGCAATAGCATCATATATATATATGTATATATAAAAGCTAAGGTATACACCTTAATTGAAAAATGCTAACCATCACATGAGCTTTCAGTGAGTCATCTTTTGCTGGTGGAGGATCTTGCCCTGATGTTAATGGCTGCTGACTGATCAGGGTGGTGGTTGCTAAAGGTTGGGGTGGCTATGGAAATTTCTTAAAATAAGACAATAGTGAAGTTTGCCACATTGATTGACTTTTTCTTTCATGAATGACTTCTCTGTAGCGTGTGATGCTTTTTGATATTTTTCATCTCTTTTAAAAGATTTTATTTATTTGACAGAGAGAGACACAGTGAGAGAGGGAAAACAAGCAGGGGGAGTGGGAGGGAGAAGCAGGCTTCCCGCCAAGCAGGGAGCAGGATGCTAGGCTCGATCCCAGGACCCTGGGACCATGACCTGAGCTGAAGGCAGACACAACGACTGAGCCACCCAGGCGCCCCTCATCTTTTTTTAGATTGACAGAAATTGATAAAGTACACTGCTGAATGTGGGCAAATGAGTATTCTTGTGAGGGCAAAATGCTTTCTGGTGGGAAGCAATGTGGCAGTGCTTAAAATTTTAACCTATGTATGTCCTTGGATATGTAATTTTTGATGTCTAGACATTTTTTCACTAAGATAATTAAATGTAAAAAGATCTATATCTGCCTCTGGAAATGTCCATCGTTTATGGGATTAAGTCAAGGTATATCCATCCAATAGGATCCTATACAGGTATTAAAAATGGTAATGTACTGTAGATTTATATTTATTGCAATGGAAATAGGTCCTCAACAAGTCCGTTTCATTTCTCAACAATAAGTAATAGCACGCCTAATGGGGCCTCATTTATATAAAATTGTGTGTGTGAGTGGTAGACAAATTTCTGAAATAAATACTCATTAAAATGGTTATCTCTTGAGTGGTCGCCTGTTGGGGTTGCTTTTATTTGTACTGTTAGGTTTCTTTATGAGGAGTATTTATCATTTTTATACTTGAAAAAGGAGAGTTTTTTTTCCCCTTTCTGAACAAATATGAATACAGCCTTTTAAGGTGGTACCTGATTAAGTTCTGCAAATACCTAAATCTAACAAGGTCTGTAGAACCTGTTAATGTAATACCCAGGGGCTGTGGTTTGGGATGCTCTACTATTGTCATTGAAGTCACTCAGGAACCAGTACAACGGGTCACAGATAGCTGGGGAGTTCTGAACTCCAGAGCCCAAGGCGCTGACTGCCGGTTTTTTTTAGTGCCACACCCTGCTGTGGTTAATTTCTTTAAAGACTTGATTGTTAAAAAACAAAGTCAAGTTTAAACCTTTGTTTTGTTGTTTGGATTGACTTTTTTTTTGTTCAGCTTTATTGACATATAATTGACAAAGTAGTAAGATATTTAAAGTGCACACCACGGTGATTTGATAAACGCATACATTGTGAAAGGGTTCCTCCAGTCTGTTTAATTCACACATCCATCACCTTACATATTTATCTTCAAGTTCTGCACTCAGCAGATTTTAATTGTGCGATGCAGTGTTAATCAGCCCTGCCACAATGTTACATGTTAGAGCTTCAGACCTTGTTTATTTATTGTATAGCTGGAAGTTTGTACCCTTTCATCAACCTCTCCCTATTTTCTCATGACCTGGCAGTCGGTTTTCTGAGTTTAACTTTTTTTAAGATTCCACATGTAATTAATACCAGGCAATATTTGACTTTGTTGCTTTACTTTGGATTAATAAGAGTATCACAATTTATTGTGCACACTTGCCCTTGTTGATGAAGAATAGTAACATTAGAAGTCATTCTCTTCTCTGCATGTATATCAGGTACTGTCTTAATCATTGGGATGGAGGGGAAGTAGAATTCCTGCCCTCCAAAGTTTTATTCTCTAGTGGAGCATTCAAGGGACTATTTCTGTGAACCATGCTATGGCAGCACACAGTAGGACTTTTGACTTAGAAGTTGATGTGTTTCTTGGGCTTGGGTAGCTGTTCAAGGAAGATTTTCCAGAGGAAATATCTGAACTGAATTTTGAATTTCAGTTTAGACAGCTGAAGTTTTGAAAGGTTAAACATGAATTAGCCAAACCAAAGAAAGGGATATCTAGGGAAATCTAAGTGGAGACAAAGGCGTGGAGGCATGCAAGGGCATGGCATTTGTTGGGAACTGCAGGTCATTCAGCAGGTAGGGATTGAGGTGGTGCAGGCAATGGAGTGAGGCTGGGGAAGCCCGATCAAGAAGGGTCTTGTCAGCTGTCAAAGAGGTTCTTTCTCTGGACTTCTTATAAATACAGCCTTTGTTCAGGTAGGATGGGAATCTTTGAGTCATCTTTGACTCTTGAGGCTCCCTCCCATCCCTTAAACTCCCTCATAATTAGGCACCAAATCCTGTCAATTTTGGGAACTTGGATTGAAATGGAAATGTAGACTGTGCTCTTTACAGGAGACTGTAACTTAGTCTTTTTAATTTCTAGGGCTTTGCACTGGCTCACAGACCTTTAATAAATGTTCAAAATGAATGGGTTACAGGAAGGGAGTTCTAAAGAGAAAATGTTTCGTATTTTTACATGTGACCATGTGTAATTTTCTATTCTCCCATTTCATTACAGAAAATTTAATAATCTTAGGAGGCCTAGTTGAAAAGTCAACTCTTGGATAATTAAAAGTCTTCAAAATGGAATCAGACCCATTAGTAAGGACTGTTTGATTAGTGTACTGGTGGGTGACTAAAGCAGCATCACAGTAGGGAAAAAAGTACCAGACAGCTTCTGGCAATTTCGTTTTGATGAATATACCCCAGTTTACCGAGTATATGTGTCTTTTTTTTTTTTCCTAGCTGAGAACAATCTTCTTATGACTGTCCCAATAGAGATTAATTTTTTAGTTAAAGGAAAATTGTGAACATGTACATTTATTGCTTTTCACTTGTCATAATGTGAGAACATGCTTTCTTGAACTTGTGGATATATACTCTATTTTCTGCTTATTATAAAAGGAAGACTACACAGAGATGGTTAGCATTTGCAACAATTAGGCATTGTTTTAGTGAAATAATTGTGCCGTTTTGAAAGCAAATTATGTATCTGAGGCATATCTGAAGCAGCTTTATGATTATCAGCAACACAGCTGCTGTAACTATTATGTTAGTGGAATTGAATCTTTTGTTATATGGGTCACCAGCAACTGAACTTTTATACTTGTAACTATGCAAGACTCTTATTAAGACATAATGTAATACAAATGGGGGGTATCTCAAAGTGTTTTCATATGTGAGCTTAAGAAGAGCAAAGTATTTGTTATATAGAACTAGAATGATACCATTATAATACAGTCCTACTTACGCATATATTTATATTTAATATTTCTCAAGTCTTTTCTTTCTATGTTTATTATTTTTAAAACTTTTCTTTTCCTCCTTGCCTGCTTGCTTACTTCCTTGCTTGCTTTCTTTTTCTTTCGCTTTCTTTCCTTTTAAAGCATGAATTAGCTAAGCCTATTTCCTTCCCCCATTAAAAAAAAAAAAGATATAAAGGTGTTTTTCCTATGTCACCTCTCACTTCCCATTACCTCTAATTTTTTTAGTTTTTATGTTTTGCTTACATCTAAATACATAACCTGTAGCTTGCAGTGGAAAAGACTTTTGCATTATGTGGCTTCAACAATAGCTCCTGTAGCCTGGTTTACTGTAACAAAATCTCCCTGAGATATGTGTCATATAGAGCTGATTAAAATGGAATTTTCCTGTAACTTTGTCTTAACTGCCTTATATCATTTTGAGTATAGGTGGTGTAATGATAAGTATTTTGTGTGTTATACCTATTTAATCTTAAAACCAAGATGAACATTTTTAAAATGGGTAGATATACATTTGTCTTATTTTCTGTTTTTCTGTAGAGATGATTACAGTTGTAACAAATAATATAAGTCTTGTATACTTTGCCCCCGTCTCCCTCAATAACGTTTTGTAGAACTGTAGTACAATATTATAACCAGGATATGGATGTTGTATGATTTGCTCTTAATTCAGATTTTTCCAGTTTTATTTGAACTCATTTGTGCATGTATATAATTCTGTACTGTTTAATCTCCTTTTTATGTTTGTATATCTATCACCGCAGTCAAGCTGAATAGCTCCTTATCACAAGGGTCTCTCTTGTTGCCCTGTTATAATGCCTGCTTCTCTTCTGCCACTTCATTTTCCCTCTCCTAGCTCTAACTTCTGGCAGCTACTAATCTTTCCTCCATTACTAAAATTTTCTTTCGTTTCAGGAATGTTATATAAAGGAAATCCTACAGTATGTAGCCATTTGAGATTAACTTTTTCACTCAGTATAATTCCTTGGAGATTCATCCAAGTTTGTGTGAATCAGTAGCTTATTCACTTGTTTTTTCTATTTAAGTTATTTCCACATTGTTTAAAACTTAGTTTCTACTTTGTTTCCTTCCTAATCTGTTTTAAAAATACATGTATTTGTTTTAAATCTAGGTGACAAAACACGACCACCATCTTCGAGCCCCTCTAGTATTATCCGCCGGACTTCCTCTCTGGATACACTTGCTGCCCCATACCTTGCAGGACACTGGCCTCGTGATAGTCAGGGGCAAGCTGCTCCCTGCATGAGGGACAAGGCTACACAGGTAGGTGTATTAAAATTCTTATCCTGAAGTGTTTTACTCTGAAACCGTTTCTCATAACATTATTTGTTTTATGCTGTGCTCAAATTCTTAAAACATTAGTGTGTATTAGAATTACCTGAGAAGCTTATCAAAAGTGCAGATTCCCAGGCCTGACCTCCAGATACTCTGTAGTAGGCTTTGGTTGAGGCTTGGGAATGTACATTTTAAACAGTTCCCAAAGTAATTCCAATACATAAGGATAATTTATGGATACACTTTTTCTCCCCACTTCCTCTTTATTGTTAGTTTAGAACATCAGAATAGATTTAATATATTGAATTTGTAACAGTAAGGATTACTTTACTTTCCATCTAACCTTATATTTTTGTGCCAAAAATCGTCACATGTTGGGAGATAGGGATTATATTATGTTGCAGATAGTAAATATCCTGACAAAGAGACCCTGGAAGCAAAATTTTATACTTTTAGATTTCTGAAATTTTTTCATTAAAAGGATCTTAAGAGGGGCACCTGGCTGGCTTAGCTGGAAGAGCATGCAACTCTTGATCTTTAGGGTTGTGAGTTAAAGCCCCACGCTGGGTATAGAGATTACTAAAAATAAATGAAGAAAAGGTTCTTAGGAGATCATTTAGATCTACTTCCTGATTTTACAAATGAGGAAGCTGAGGTCCAAGATCATGAAGCCAGGTGTTGACTTTCATAGCACTTATGGTTTAGTTTCTTTCATTACGCTTACTATAATTAAAGTTAATTAAATATTTGTCTAATCATTTATTTAATATTTCTCATACTTACTAGATGTTGAGCCCATGGCCTAGCTCATCCATTTCTGTATTTTCATCTCCAGGATTTAGTACTGTACCTGAGAGAGTAAACACTCAAGGATTGTTTGCAAAGGGATGAATGAGCAGAATAGTTAAAGCTTTATTGCTAGTGAAGAATGAAAATCAGTTAAAGAGTTAAAAGATTCTTTATACTGACTATTGAAAATCAGTTAAGGTATATCTCGATTTAGACTTCAAATTTACATCACTGATGGTAGTTTGATCCCAGCACTTTATGAAGAGAATGTCCTTTTATAGAACCAAGTAAACACACTTTGTAGTGGTTTTTGGATTTGTATTTGGGTTTCCAAAATTCCACGTATTCTTGTTGGGCTTAGTTTGTTTTGTGGTCTGATATTCTTGAAACTGAGTCCCACTGTTAGGGTAGATGCTTGGGATATGAGATTACCTTGAGGTTTATATTCCAGTGGCAAATACAGAAATGAAAACAGAGCCTGTGCTCCTCAAATTTACAAATATTGTGAGAAACTGACTTTAACCAAAGAGTTATAGAAGATTCTCCATTTATTCAAAATCTGTAAGTTTGCTGAAATTAGGGCATATAGTATGGAAAATGAGTAGTTCCTACTTGCTTTCTGCTTAATCCACATGCCATGTTTAAATTACTCTGGGTATATTTCCTTGAACATTTCTGCAACCCTTGTTATCTCCTCTGCAGTTTCAGGTTCAGTGGGTTCAGATACTTTGTCTTAACAGTAAGAATAAACAATCTTAGAAGCCACTGGGAGCCCACCTAACTCTGACTACATTGAATTAAAGTATAAAGAGTAGTCTCTTCACCTTTTTCTAAATGGCCCCCAAATTGGGAATGTTAAGGGTACAAATATAAAGAAAACTTATAATTATCATACTGTTAATCTTGCTTGTAAAGTTCACATTAGAATCTCCTAAGGTGGGCGCCTGGGTGGCTCAGTTGGTTAAGCGACTGCCTTCAGCTCAGGTCATGATCCTGGAGTCCCGGGATCGAGTCCCGCATCAGGCTCCCTGCTCGGCAGGGAGTCTGCTTCTCCCTCTGACCCTCCTCCCTCTCATGCTCTCTGTCTCTCATTCTCTGTCTCAAATAAATAAATAAAATCTTTAAAAAAAAAAAAAAAGAATCTCCTAAGGTATAATGCAGCAATAGCTGGGCACTCTAATCTTTCATTTACATAAGTTCTCAAATTCTCTATTGGTAGATGTTGGATTCCCTAATATATGTATGCTAGTTAATTAAGTCAGCTTTTTAAAGATTTTTTTTTTTTTTAAAAAGAGAGGTAGAGAGCATGAGCAGGGGGGAGGGGCAGAAGGAGAGGAAGAGAGAGAGTCCCAAGCAGATTCCATGCTGAGCATGGAGCCTGATGGGGGGCTTGATCTCAGTCTCATGACCCGGAGAGCATGACCTGAGCCGAAACCAAGAGTTGGACGCTTAACTGACTGAGCCATTCCAGGCGCCCCTTAAATCAGGTTTTTAAAATTTGGTAAAATGAATTTAACATAAAATTTGCAATTTTTAAGTATACAATTAAGTAGCATTAATTACATTCACAACATTGTGCAGCCATTGCTGTTATGTTTCCAAAACTTCTCATCACCCCAAACAAGAACTCTGTAACTCCTCTTTCTCCAGCATCTGTAACCACTATTCAACTTTCTGTTTCTGTGAATTTGCCTGTTCTAGATATTTCATATAAGTAGAAGCATATAATATTTGTAATTTTATATCTGACTCATTTTGCTTAGCATTATGTTTTCAAGATTTATCCATGTTGAACCATTTCTTTTTCATGGCTGAATAATATTCCATTGTATGGGTTCTCCATTTATCCGTTTATCCATTTATCTATTTGTGGACATTTGGGTTTTTTACATATTTTGGCTATTGTGAACAATGCTGAAATGAACCTTGCTTTATAGGTGTCTGTTTGAATCTCTGCTTTCAGTTCCTTTTGGTACATATGTAGGAGTGAAATTGCTGAGTCATATATTTAGCTTTTAGGGGAACTGCCAAACTGTTTTCCACAGCAGCTGCACCAGTTTATATTCCCTCCAGCAATGTGAAGGGGCTCCAGTTTCTCCATATCCTCACCAAAACCTATTTTCCTGTTTTTTTCTTCAGTATAGCTATCCTAATAGGTATGAAATTGTATCTTATGGGTTTTATTTATATTTTCCTAATGACTAATGATCTTGAGCATCTTTTCATGTGCTTTTTGTGTATCTTCTTTGGAGTTCAGTCACTTTTGTGCCTTTGCTTCCTCTTTGTAAAATGGGAAAAGAATAGTACCTATATTTTAAGATTATTATGAGGATTAAACAAGGAAATATGTGTAAAACACTTAGAACAGTGTCTGGCACATAGTAAGGATTTAGTAAATACTTGCCATTAAAATTACTACCTTTGATTATTGTCAGAACAAGGATGGCATGTCGGTTTTCTGTCTTAGGCAGTTTGTCAATTGCTGTTAGCTTCCTGGAGCATTATGTTGAAAAAGGTTCGGGCTAACGATTCCTGATTGGCTATTTTGCCCTAGTTGAGAGGCCCTGGGCTCTTTTATCAGCCGGTCCATATAGCGCTAGAGCAGTAAGTATGATGGAAGTAATTTATTTTATATTATAGATGGGTGCTTCCAGGAAGTTCCTCCTAGACTTTTGACAAAACATATCATGTCACCACTCTGAGCCCTGGTTCTTCATTAAAAAAAAAAAAAAATTATGTTTGAGTCTAAGGTCTAAGTATCTCAGGGATGAGTGGGAATGGAAAGAAGAGGTTCTGGAAAATACAGAGAAAGGTAGCATCAAAAAAGTTTAGGAATATGGCAGCAGGTTTTTTAAAGATGTTAATCTCCCCTCCTCCCCTCCCCCCACGCCATTATTTGCTTTGGTCATGAGGATGAGTGGATGATTAAAATTTTATACATGATTATTTGTCATCCTAATTACTTGACACAAAGATAGCAAAAATATGGCATCATTTCTTTTTTTCTGTATCTTTGGCAGACATTGCTCATTCCCTGTGAACTCAGATGGCCTGAGAGTCTCTCTAGCGCAGTGCTTTAGCTTGCCATTGCCAGTGGAGCGGGGCTGGTCTACCATTTCTGCTTTAGAGTTTGGTACACTTCTTAATACTACATTGTCCCCAACCTCTGCCTCCTGTCCCCCCACCTCCCATGTTCTTTTAAAGATTCCTTTAAAAACTGACCATTTATCAGTTTGCCCTCCCAATTTAGACTAACTTATATTCCCAGCATTATCTATGTTGCAGTTCTATTAATTTAATTCACTTAATTAGTAAGGGATGCCTTTTGAATTTTCTGACTGTACCAATTTGTGTGAGGGATAAAATGAAATGTGTATGTGTGGTTGGATTATTTGACATTCTTTTGACTCAAAACGTATTCTCTTCCCAACTTTCCTAACCACCTAGGCTTCTTTACCTTACTGGTGGCATGTATGAGTATGTGAATTTATGACTCATGTGATTGGGGTCTGGTTTTCTTTATTATTTCTTTTGTTTTTTTTAATTACATAAACCAGTCATCTTTTGCTTTTAAAAATCTTACGTTATTTTCTCTTGGAACTCCTACACTTCAGAGACTATTTTCCCTCTTCAGGGGTTGATTTTGATTAAGAGCTTACTATTTTATGCACTGGCTTGAAATTGTAATCCAAGTTCAGAAACTATAAGATGGTCTGTTACTAAAACCTAATAAAATTAGGGGCTTCTGGGTGGCTCCATCGGTTAAACGTCTGCCTTCAGCTCAGGTCAGGATCCCAGGGTCCTGGGATCAAGCCCCACATCCGGCTCCCTGCTTAACGGGGAGCCTGCTTCTCCCTCTCCCTCTGCCTGCCCTTCTCCTTGCCTATGCTCTCTCTCTCTGTCAAATGCATAAATAAAATCTATTTTTAAAAAACCTAATAAAATTAAATACTTAGTAAATTAGAGACTAAAATAATGTTGAATTACTGAAGATAGCTGTTTATGAGTCTATAACCTTGTTTAGAGGTGGTTTTTTTTTTTGAAAGAATGATCTGGAATTTATAGCAAAAAAATAACTTTTATATATTTGATATAAGCAACACTACAATGTGTCTTAGTGTTATGAAATGAAAGTACTGAAGAGGTGGATCAGCTTTTTTAAAAAAATTACTTTTTGAGGGGCACCTGGGTGGCTCAGTCGTTAAGCGTCTGCCTTCGGCTCAGGTCATGATCGCAGGGTGCCCTGGAATCAAGTCCCGTATTGGGCTCCCTGCTCAGTGGAGAGCCTGCTTCTCCCTCTCCCTCTGCTGCTCTCCCTGCTTATGTCCTCTTGCTCTGTCAGATAAATAAAATCTTTAAAAAAATTTTTTAAAAATTACTCTTTGAGTAACTCTTGCTATTTTGTATAAAACCTTGGTCCACTGGTTAAAATTGGTAATATTAAGAGGGAAGGAAAGTGTTAAAATCTTTTTTTTTTTTTTTTTCCCCAGACCTAAATCTAATGACCTCTTTATAAGCTCTTTGGTTGGCTTCTCAGTAGCTTTGCCTTTCTTGGTTAAGCCTAGGATTCTGAAATAATCTAGATTTCTAGATATTTTACCACTTGACTGGTGTTCCTGTCCTTTTTTTACATTTTAGATCAGATTTCTTTAGGCCAGCGACTCTATATGTTTTTTAAACAGGCTGGGCTATAAAATAAGGTTATATCATGGAATCCTTTAAAACAAATACAGTTTCTTGACTGTGTAAATCATATATATATTTTTTTACCTACTAAAAATAATTTAGAAAAAACACCCCTACTCTCAATAATGAACTTGCAGTGCCCTGTACTCTCTTCACTGATGCTTCTCACGTTTTCTATTTTATTTGGAATGCCTTCCCACCATTTGCTTGGATAACTTATACTCTAATGCTCGTAGCAGCCTCCCCCCATCCCATAAAATCTTGCCTACCTCCTTCCCTGTCTTTCTGGTTCTGGGTTAGATGCCTTTCTTGGGGGGACCTCTTCATCACATGGTACCATAATTGGCTATTTGTCCTTTCTCTCCTAGAAAAAACCTTTTGAGAATAAGAAGTGTGTTTCTTCCTTAACCCTAGTACCTAGTCCAGTGCCTGACGCATTGGCAGTAGAGGCTTAATAGTTTTCTGGTATACAGTGCAAGACTGAACAAAGTTGAAATGTACTTAATTAAAACTCAGTTTTACTTTTTATTAACATCTAAGTGGAACAAAGAAAGCAGTTGTCTTTTGAGTTAGGAGTTTAAGTAAAATTAGTGACTTTTGGTAAGTATTTTTTCCTGTTTGAATATCTTATAACTGAAATTAGCAAAGCTGTCTGTTGCTCTTCATGCTTACTTTTATTTTTCTTAATCAATACTCTTGTTCTCATTATCTTTAATTTGTTCTTAACAAATCTATAGGAAACTTTTGTATTCCTTTGCTTTTCCTTGAGTTAAATTTTATACTTAATATATTTAGATTTCCCTAATTTAAAAAATCTTTTTATTTGGAAAAAGTCTTACTTAGAGAAAAATTGTAAGAACAGATTAAACACCAGTAGAGTCTTCACCTATATTCACCAATAAACATTTTTATGTTTTTTCTTTATTTTTTGGTGCAGATATAATTGCTATTGTTACTATTTACTAATCATTAGTAAGTTGCAGACATTCTGACTCTTTTCAAATACTTAAACGTGTATATGAACAAGGACTTAAATAAAAATTACCAAAGTGATTACCAAATCCAGGAGATTTAACATTGATACAGTGCTTTTAAGTTTCCTCAATAATGTTCTCTTAGTAATTTCTCCTGTAAGCCAGGATCTAGTCAAGAAGCAGACATGGCGTTTAGATGTTATTTTTTTTTTTAGTATCCTTTAATCTGAAACAGTTCCTTAGCTTTTCTTTGTCTTTCCTGACCTTGAAATTTTTTAAGAGTATAAGCCAGTATTTTTGTTGAGTATTGTCAACTTGACTCTGTTTTTTCACAATTAGATTCAAGTTATTACATTTTTGGCAGGAATATTATATATGTGATGTGTATATATTCTACAATCTTGTTTTTTACTTACGGACATTACTCCATCCATATGAAAGATTCTCCCTTAAAAGTCCTGCCCCCCCCGTCCGTATATAGAGAGGTATTTTTTTGAATAGGCTATACTTTCATTCTTATAGTACAAAATTTAAGAGGTACAGAAGTATATACAGTGAAGGAAGGATCTTCCTCCCATGAGGCAGCCACTGTTATGTTTCTTTTGTTACCATGTATATTCTTCCAGAGATACTTTACATATGTGTATATTCTTTCTAGTGGCACTGGTTAAAGGAAGTTGCTATACATACTGTAGTGAACCTTGAGTTTTTCACTTAATCTCACAGAGATTATTGTGAATTTCCTTACTCATTTTTTATAGCAGAATAAGTATTCTGTTGTAAAGACACACCATTATTTAACAAATCCTTTCTTTACATTGTTCTAATCTTTTACTTGTAAAAATAGTGCTACCGGGAATAATATGCTGTATTGTGCATAAAGATATATATTTTGTACATCTGCATGATAAATTACAAAAGAAGGTGAGTGAAACAGTATGTGCATTTGTAACTTTGACAGCAATTGCTTAGTCCCCTTCCATAAAGGCTGTACTAATTTAATTTACACTTCACCAGAAATATAGGAAAGAGTATGATATCAAATTGCCCAGTCTCAGTGAAGTTTTAACTTAGATTTCTCTAACGGGTGAGATTGGGCATATTTTCACATACTAAGAACTCATTTGTACTTTTTTTTCCCTAATACAGTGTCTTTAAATTCTGGATTTTGTATAATCACTAAGAATTTGCCATTTTTGAGGCTATGTTTTGCAGATATCTAAATCAAGACTAGACATAGTATAGAGGTTAAGATTATGAACTTCAGAGTCTTAGGTTTTTATCTTGGCTTTGCCACTTCTTAGCTGTGAGACATTAGGCAACTTATCAAGCTTCCTTATCTGCAGAACTTGTAGAGCTTCTCGTATGTATTCAATCAGATAATACAGTGAAGACCTTTCACTGTACCCCCATAAAGCAAAGTGCCTAGCACATAATAAGATCACAGGAATGTTAGTTGTTTTTTTTTTTTTTTTAAAGATTTTATTTATTTATTTGACAGAGAGAGACACAGAGAGAGAAGGAACACAAGCAGCAGGGGTGGGAGAGGGAGAAGCCAGCTTCCCGCCAAGCAGGGAGCCCAGTGCGGGGCTCGATTCCAGGACCTGGGATCGTGACCTGAGCCGAAGGCAGACGCTTAACGACTGAGCCACCCAGGCGCCCCAGGAATGTTAGTTATTATTAGTATACATTTGTTCAATAAATGCTGTACTTATAATTATGTAAAAGTAATAACTAAGAATTTATCAATAGAAATGAAGGAAATATACTAAAATATTATAATTAAAGTAACGTGCTGGAAGAATTTTGGGTCATTGTGTTTTTTTAAATATTCTAGTACTAAATTTTCTTTAATGGGAATGTATTGTATAATAGAAAAGTGCATACTTTTTTTAGAAATGAAACTTTTTCAGATTTATTGAGATAAAATTGACATATACAGCACTGTATAAGTTTTTGTACAATGTGACTTGGAATACATATATTATGAAATGATTATCACAGTGAGTTTAGTTAACATCCATTACCTTATATAGTTAAAAATTTTTTTTCTTGTGATGAGAACTTTTAGGATCTACTCTTTAACAGTTTTCAAATATACTATACCAGCAGTATTAAGTATAGTCATCATATTATACATTACATCCCCAGTACTTATTTATCTTATAACTGGAAGTTTGTACCTTTAGACCACCTTCATCCAGCTCCACCTCTGGTGCCTCTGATAAGCACAAATCTGATTTCTTTTTCTCTGAGTTTGTTTTTTAGATTCCACATGTGAGATCATATGGTATTTGTCTTTCTCTGCCTGACTTATTTGAGCATAATGCCCTCAAGGTCTATCCATCTTGTTGCAATTAACCTACCCCTTCCCTCTTTTTCCCATTATAGACAGAGAGTGCATGGGCCGAAGAATACTCTGAAAAGAAGAAAGGGTCTCACAAGCGTTCAGCATCGTGGGGCAGTACAGATCAACTTAAGGAGGTCAGGAAAATGATTCCAAAGAACTGGTGTGGAAGTTTGATCCCTTTCTTGCCTAGTTCCTTGAAATTGTAGGCAACAAGGATTTGTCAGTTTCCATTGTTTTGTTCTGTGTTGTTTTATTTTATTTTTTTGGTTGTTTTGTTTACCTGAAAAATAACAGAAAAATAGTTACTACATTGATTGGATAAAGATTTGAATGGGGGAAATGTACACATTACTTACCAGATTATTTGGTTTCCTTTGTCCTTTTGTTTTATTAAACAAGAGTCCATACCTGTTAACATAACCTATGCATCAGATGTATAAAATTGTAATGATACAACAAATTCACATTTATTATTTCTATATATAATGGTAGTGTTTCTGAAATTCAGTAACCCAATACAACCAAGTTGATTATGCCCCATGTTGATTACCATTTTCTGTGCTTATAATTATGATATTTGCACTTTACATATAATATATAAATAAAGATTTGCTCAAGGAATAATACAGGATATTGATTGAAATTGTATTTGTTATGTAAAGATTGTGTCTGTGAATGCATTTCATGGCTTGAATTGATGTTTTTTCTCTTTATTTTTTTTTCAATTGCGGGCTAGTCAACCTTTTTTTTTTTTAAATTAACGTATAATGTATTATTTGTTTCAGGGGTACAGATCTGTGATTCATCAGTCTTAACACAATTCACAACACTCACCATTGCACATACCCTCCCCAGTGTTCATCACCGAGCCACCCCATCCCTCTCACCCCCCTCCACTCCAGCAACCCTCACTTTGTTTCCTGAGATTAAGAGTCTCTTATGGTTTGTCTCCCTCTTTGGTTTCGTCTTGTTTCATTTTCCCCTCCCTTCCCCTATGATCCTCTGTCTTGTTTCTCAAATTCCTGTCAGTGAGATCATATGATACTTGTCTTTCTCTGATTGACTTATTTCACTTAGCATAATACCCTCTAGTTCCATCCACGTTGTTGCAAATAGCAAGATTTCATTTTTTGATGGCTGCATAATATTCCTTTGTGTG